GAAGATAAAAGCATGGACAAGTTGTTCCAAATCCTGCTGTGACATTAGTCTTTTAATCCTAGATATATTCTTTAGGTGATAGTAGGCTGATTTAGTAACTGTTTTAATGTGACTGTTGAAACTCAGGTCAGAGTCCATGACTACACCTAGATTTCTGGCTTTATCTGTTGTTTTGAACATTGCAGACTGAAGCTCAGCGCTAACTTTTATACGTTCTGACTTGGCGCCAAAAACCATTACCTCAGTTTTATCTTTGTTTAATTGGAGAAAGTTCTGACACATCCAGTCATTGATTTGTTCAATGCACTTACTCAGTGTTTGAATTGGAGCATAGTCTCCTGGTGAAATTGTTATGTAAATGTGTGTGTCATCCGCATAGCTATGGTAACTTAACAACAATGGAATTATGATCAGTAGAATCGCCATGACATTGGACCTTTAAAGCTGTACCAGGCAGAGTCATTGTGGCTGCCAAAGATTGTCAAGAAGACTATAAAAACATGAAGAAGAAGACATTTAGTTTTTCTTTACTATGTGTATATACTTTATAAAATATTTTATAAATGTTAAAAATGCTTTTCTGTTGCAGGGATGTGAGGATGGTATGACCCTTATAGCCGACAATCCTTTTATCAATAAAAAGGAGCTTTGTCCCTTTGAAAAGGGAATTCGAATCGACTACATCCTGTTCAAGGTGGGTGAAAGCTTTCGGTATTTGTATCACCTCGTGGCTTCAGCAAGATGTTTGAGTCAAAGGATTCATTTGTAATGTGTTTTAATTCCTAAAGCCCATTTCCTCTTTTATTCCCAGGGTTCTACCAAAACAGACATTTATTGTGATTACATGTCCACCACCAAAGGCTCCGCCCCAAACCATCCTTTCCCATACTCCGACCATGAGGCTCTGACTGCTGGACTGAGGCTGGAGACACACACTCAGACACAAAGTGACAGGCAACCAAAGATTAAGGACTCTGCTGCAGGTATGTTTATAGCAAATGAATGACATTAAAAAAAATAATAAATATTTCTATGGCACATGGTTTGCTTTCTTGTACACTACTTTGACAAACAGGATTGTACAATTCTATTCAAATCAAAGAAATGCACAGACACCTTGCAGTCACCTTTAATGTCAACACCTCTAATGTCAACACCTCATAGAGCAGATCTGACAGTGACAGAGCATTAGACACTGGAAGACACAATCTTGTGTGTGCAAATTGACAAAGACATTTGCTGAGGCACTGTAATGACACAGCTATGACCAACTAACTCTGAAGTTCTGTACCCTAAACATTTGTTACCAAATAGAAAGCTGATAATTCCATCAGCAAGAGATAACCAGTTACATTCCTTGCAGAGGCGCAGGCTCCAGATTAGGTTTACTCTCTGACAAATAACATGTTTAGTCCTGTCATTGTCTGAAGGAGAGAATGTTTACAATCTTGCTTTATGCATATTCAGAATTAACAAGGAGGACATCCACTAACATAGCTGATGAAGAGAGCCCCAGAATACAGGCTCAAGCTAATCTTGATACAAGAGAGGCCAAATGACTGCTGTCTGTACAGACAGATAAATACCTCTAAACTGAGGCCAGGACATAAGTGGAGAATTAATAGATGGAGCGAACAGTTAAACAATTCGCCAAGCCACCTCTGTGACCCGTAGTAGTCCCAGAACTGCTCCGAAGCCTCCTGTCTGTAGCTCTTTGACATGCTGTGAATTACTTGAAGTTACAGTAGATTTGCCCCCAAGTGATCTAATATGTGAAAATCATGCACAGCCTTTTTCTGCTTCACTGTTCAACTGGTATTAAACACACAGATGAAATTGTGTTGAAGTCAACTGTTGCAAAAGTTGAATTGCCTCTTCTGTCCGTCCTGTCTTCAGGGAAGCTGGCTGCGTTGGTGGACATTGTGACAGAGGCGCGCACTGAAGTCAAAGTGGGCCTGCATTGCGCTGAGGGGATGCGCTACACGGCAACGCGCACCGGAGTGATGGGGTTGGCTCTGCTGGTCCTGGAGCTGGCCATCGCTGCGGTGCCCTGGTTGGCCCTGGGGACAGAACAGCCTTTCCCTCGTACCTCCTTCTACCTGCTGGCTGCTCTGTGCTTCGCCATCTTGCTGACCACCTTCCTGCTGTACATCTTCTACACCATGGAGCTGAAGGCTCTGCAGGGGGCTGAAGACCAGATGAGGCTGGCTGTGGGGAGTCTGCAGGAGAAGCTCAGGGGCTTTCCTCTGGCTCAGCCCCACAACGCCCCGCGGAGGCCCCCAGAGGGTCATGAGCCCAGTGCATTGGCCCCGGAGGAATAAAAGAGGAGCAGACTGCGGTCAAAGTGGGCTCTGTGAGAGGAGCCTTTGAAGTGAGCTTTAAGATGAATGTTGGAGAAAGTCCTATGAATGTGTTTTATGCTCTTAAGATTTATACTGCAGAATGCAAACGTTTTTGAAGGACTTTTCTGAAAGTAGTGCAGGACACATGCTTTTTATACTTTTTATATACTCGTCTTCACCCCTAGATTTCCCTCTTCAGCTAAACAAACACTTCCTGTTACATAACATGACACTTGTGTGCTACTGCTGTTCTTAACGCTCATAACTGTGACCATTTGTGTTTCTTAAGCCGCTTGTCCGACTTGCATTCCACCAACCAGTAGTTTCAGCGGGACCAGATGTTTCTGTTTTCATGCTTCCCTTTTGTGATCTGGACACAATCATAGTGGGTCCAGACTGTTTGCTGATGTACTTGCAAAGAGAAACCCTGTGCACTCCACTGCACGAAGACACAGACTAATGTTGAAGGTTTACATTTAAGTCAGTACCTTTTTATTTTGACCAGATTGTTTAGAGCGTCCATAAGCACTTATATGAAAACTCATGCGCCAGTGAATACTTTTATTTTTAGTATTGTAAGATCTGCATGTCATGTTTACTGTATTACACAGTAAAGTATTTTAATGTTAGACCATCTACACTCTTATTTCCCAAAGTATCGCATTGATAATGCACTGTGTGTGTGTGTGTGTATATATACTTTCAAACTTGATCTAATTGGATCACTTGAATTACTTTTTAAAAGAAACATCATGTACTGTGTAGAGAACTATGAATGCTTAATATATCATTAGTGTGCAGTGCACTTAGCTGACTAACCAGATACACTACTTCCTGTTATGTGAAAGTACTTAATGATCCATGCTGCTGGAAAACAGTGTTAAGACTCAGCTGAAACCTAACCATGACTGTATTGATAATTTTAACAGTATTCTTACACTCAGTGTTGGAAAAGCACAAGTAGTTATTTATCTCATAAAGGTAATAAAATGTAAAATAAAACATGAAGTTCATTCCAATTGAAAATTGTGATGGGCATGATTATGAAAGCAATAATAAAAACTATAAATCCACCCTTCCTGACTGCTGAGGCTCTGGATGAATGGGAATGGCAGTGCATGATGGGTTCTTCACATTCGCCACTAGAGGCCATTATAACTTCACGCTAACGGATGGGAGCATTCACCCCACACTGACACTTCATCAGCAGTTGCAAAGATCTCGGAGCATGTGGGATGACAGCCAAATGTACCAAATACCAACTGGCACTAAAGAAAAGGCACCCATGGGTGTGGTACACTTAACATGTTTCATTTTTTTCCCACAGCAAATCACAAATGCTTTAACTGACACCATGTTAAAACCTAAACCATCATATTTAGTGCCATTACCTGAAATAAAACAGAAACAGCAATATGTAGGACTGGAGCATGCATTTAACACTGAAAAATACAGAACACACATGCTTTACATGTACATTAGGCTATACTACACCTGATGCAAATTGTTTTCAGCCAAGTCTAATTTTACAAAGGTTTTTTGTAACTGAAAAAGGTGGAAACAATGCAGGCCTGTATTTTAGGAGGACAGGATTTAAATGAGAGGATAATAGAGTAAGACACTTGCCACACAGCTCTTTTGCAACCCTGGGCTTTCTTGTGACATAATGTAACATACAACACTTGTTTATAATGTTTTCCTTTTAAGTAAGCTGCTGTCTTTATTATGCATTTTAACTAAAGTCATAATACTCTTTCATACATGAACTGAACTGAAGTTAGAGTAGTTCTACTAATATTGTATTATCTTGTTTCATACCTCTTTAAAAACGTTTATTGTATTGAAGTGTTTTCTAGTGATGGCATCACATCCATCTCTTGCATTAGTGGCAGGTAAGGTGGAATAACATGCACGGGTCAAAGTCCTGCAAAAGCCCTGCATTCAAAATGTTACTAAATTGAAAGTGCAAAAGTATTACTTTACTTCAAGTACCAAAAGTAAGAGTACTCATTATGCAGACTGGTCAATTTCAGAATAATATATGATATGTTTTATAATTATTGATGCATTAACGTGTTATGATCAAAGCTGGTAAAGGTGCAGCTAGATTTAATGACGTTGTATGCTGCAGGGTAGCTTGCGAATTTACTCCAGGTGTAACTAAAGTCTGATTTAAATGTTGATTATATTTCATCATTCCAAATCTGAATAGTAACAAAGGTAGGCCTATTAGGCCTACATAAATGTAGTGGAGTAAAAGTAGCCTACACGATTTACCTCTGAATTGTAGTGGAGTACAAAGTAGCAAAAAATGGAAATACTATAAAAAAATGTTACTCAAGGACAATACTTGAGTAAATGTACTTGGTTACTTCGCACCTCTGGTTGTTAGAGTAGTAACATATTTTGAACATATACATTTAAAATGTATCATACCCAGCATAAAACGTGGGGGGGGGGGAAGTTAAGTATATAAACACCTTCAATTGTACTTGAGTGATGAGTTCCTTTCATTGCTTCCAATAACTGTTAGCCTGTGGGGAATAGTGTAGTCAGCTGCACATAATGGCGTGGTATTTGTCAGGACAGGCAGCAGAGAGCGGTGTATTGTTGCTGGATGGGCGCGGTCTGGTGTTCAGGGCAGGGCAAGGTGCACTTTACCTCCGGCAGCCCAGACACTCTGCGGCGGACTGGCTTCCCTCTGGATGTTGTTTAGCCCGACCGGACAGTTAAAAAAAATGGCGACTCTGGACCACCTTAAATCGGTTATTTCCATCGGGAATGTGGACCACACGTCGCTGGCTCTGCCGTCCAGTAACCAGTGCCGGTCCGGGCAGCAGCGGGTCCGGGAGCAGGTGGAGACCCTCCGGAGGAGCAAGACCCGGCTTTCCAGCAGCAGGAGCGCTTCCACTTCTCTATCTCCGACATGTAAGAGAGCAGCCAACACACCTGGGCCGATAACAACTCAGTACACAAGGAGAGAATATAGTCTGCCATTAAAAACATAATTTAGACTTTCATGTTAGGAGATAGACATGTAATTATTCACATAAGAGGTCATTACCTTCCCAGGAAGTGTTCTTCTGTTCTAATTATAAAGGGAAAATAGAGACAAAGTTCTTAGTTGAACTGGATTTGATGATAGGCCTAAGTTGTTTTCAGGGTAAAGTCCTTTTAAGGAACTGCTACATTTGAAAAAAACAATATGCAGAAAATATCATTGATAAGAATTACATTATTTGGGGGTTATTTGTTTGGAGTGCAAATGTTGCGTTCATGGTTTGGATTGTTTGTCTTTTTTGTCAGCACCACAGAATAACTATCGATTTGAATATCATGAAACTTGGTGGAACCCTTTAAATTATGGAGCCAATCAAAACCAAGGGGCGCATACTCAACTGGAGAATACAGAAGTTTATAATTAACAACTCCTATTTGGTTTGTGGTCACATTTTTCTAACCGAGACGAAGGATTAAATATGACTAAAACTTTTGCTACGGCCCTGGCCTGTTTCGTTTGTTGTTCACCCGCCTGACTTACCGAAATAAATACTTTAGGCAAGGCAAGTTTATTTATATAGCACTTTTCAACACAAGGAAATTCAAAGTGCTTTACAAAAAATGAAAGACATTAAGAAAAGGGCATTTAAAATCAGTCATTAAAAAGAAAAGCTAATACAACTTTAACACTTTTTGGTTTCCTGCTCTCTAAATTATTGGTGCTTCCAGGTTTTCATGCTTCTGACCTTGAATTCCTCTTTTAATACCACATGGACACTATTATTTTCATACACAAACCTAAGATCACACTTGCCGAGTAGGTAACATATGTTTCCCTTGTCTTTAAACAAAGGTAATAAATGGATGACATTAATCTCAGGTATATGACCCCAGATGATAACGTTCTACTTTTCTCCTCAGCTCCTACCATTGACTCCGTGTTCATAGAGGCTCCAAAGTTAAACTCCAGCGCATCTAATGGAGGGTTCATCTTTCCAAATGGCTATTCTAAAACTGTAAGTTATACAGCTTATCTATATTGTTGTCACACGATTGATTGGCAACAGTACCTGATGTGGTTGTATTATCATCACATTGTTGTCATTGAGGGAATGATGTGAGTCTGATGCAGGACTGTAGCTACCAATGAGGGTCGTTGTACGGAGTATTCTACCTATACAAGTGAAGTTACACTTGGTGTTTTGTAAGGCTGATAAAGATCTTATTTATAACCTAATAACTTTGAATCAGCACATTTTATTAACAGTGTAGAAGTATATAATTAATCAATCTATCTGCTATATATTTTCCTAATTAATGGATAAATAGTTTTGTCCTGTGTCAGAAAAGTTGTTAATTTCCCCAATATAGTGTTCTTGTGACTCAGATGGCTTCTTCAAATTGCTTGTTTAACCAAACAAAACCAAAATATATTTAATTTACTATCCTATATGACATAGAAAAAGTCGCAAATCCTAACATTCTAAATACTGGAATGAGTTTGGAAAAGGCCGATTGTCGAACCTCAGATTGAGGAGGAACAATGCGGATTCCGTCCTGGTCGTAGAACGACGGATCAGCTTTTTACTCTCGCAAGGATCCTGGAGGGGGCCTGGGAGTACGCTTATCCGGTCTACATGTGTTTTGTAGACTTGGAGAAGGCGTATGACCGAGTTCCCAGGGAGTTACTGTGGGAGGTGCTGCGGGAGTATGGGGTGAGGGGGTCTCTACTCAGGGCCATCCAATCTCTGTACTCCCAAAGCGAGAGCTGTGTCCGGGTCCTCGGCAGTAAGTCGGACACATTTCCGGTGAGGGTTGGCCTCCGCCAGGGCTGCGCTTTGTCACCAATCCTGTTTATAATATACATGGATCGGATTTCGAGGCGTAGTCGTGGGGGAGGGGGTCTGCAGTTCGGTGGACTAAGGATTGCACCACTGCTTTTTGCAGATGATGTGGTTCTCAATTCAATTCAATTCAAAACCTTTATTTATACAGATAAAACCCATTGAGATCATAGACCTCTTTTACAATGGTGACCTGCTTCAATTAGTTCCAAACATTAATACAAACATGACAGAAAACAAAGGACATTATATGATACTACAGTTTGTATACTAGTAGCATTTACAGACACCAATATTTTCTGATTGTATTGTTCTAATGGCTTCATCGGTCTGCGACCTTCAGCACTCACTGGATCGGTTCGCAACCGAGTGTGAAGCGGCTGGGATGAGGATCAGCACCTCCAAATCTGAGGCCATGGTTCTCAGCAGGAAACCGATGGACTGTCCACTTCAAGTAGGGAATGAGTCCTTACCCCAAGTGAAGGAGTTCAAGTATTTCGGGGTCTTGTTCTCGAGTGAGGGAACAATGGAGCGTGAGATGGGCCGCAGAATCGGAGCAGTGGGAGCGGTACTGCAGTCGCTTTACCGCACCGTTGTGACGAAAAGGGAGCTGAGCCAGAAGGCAAAGCTCTCTGTCTACCGGGCCATTTTCGTTCCTACCCTCACCTATGGTCATGAAGGATGGGTCATGACCGAAAGAACGAGATCGCGGATACAAGCTGCCGAGATGGGTTTTCTCCGCAGGGTGGCTGGTGTCTCCCTTAGGGATAAGGTGAGAAGTTCGGTCATCAGGGAGGGACTCGGAGTTGAGCCGCTCCTCCTTCGCGTCGAAAGGAGCCAGTTGAGGTGGTTCGGGCACCTAGTTAGGATGCCACCTGGGCGCCTCCCTAGGGAGGTGTTCCAGGCACGTCCAGCTGGGAAGAGACCAAGGGGTAGACCTAGGACCAGGTGGAGGGATTATATCTCTTCGCTGGCCTGGGAGCGCCTTGGGATCCCCCAGTCAGAGCTGGTTGATGTCGCCAGGGAAAATAAAGTTTGGGGCTCTCTGCTGGAACTGCTACCCCCGCGACCCGACCACGGATAAGCGGGAGAAGATGGATGGATGGATGGAGTTTGGAAAAGGCCCATTATAAACGACAAAATAGTGGCAGATTAATTGTTTTCTAAAGTCCAACACATTGTCTCAATTAGTTGACGTAGTTGAAAATTGGAAACGTAAAATCATTTCAGATTTAAAATAATAATAATTTAGTGAGTTGCATAAGGGAGTTTTTACTAAAGACATCAATATTAAACAAATTCTGACCTGTAAATCAATGTAAAAGGATATATTTCGCCACTATTTTGTTCAACACAAGAAACGCAATTATCTTAATTTGTGGCCTAATAAGAATGGATTTGTTATCAGCAGTTTTTTTAAAGAATCTTCCCCAAAAACCTGTTTCCAAATCCTTCTAGACTATCTGTCTTCTCACACAAAAACATGCTCACCAGCCTCTCCCATGCCAGCCGATCTTGAAAACAACCTGCAGGGCTGCCATGTCACCAAAAAGTTGTTTCACAATTAAATGTTCTATTGGGGAGGCGTGTGGCGCAGTGGATAGAGCGTTGGTGTTCGGATCAAGGGAGCACAGGTTCAAACCCCACTGCAGTCAGCATGTCGTTATGTCCCTGAGACACTTCACCCCAAGTTGCTCCTGTGGGGATTGCCCACAGTATTGAGTATGTAAGTCGCTTTGGATAAAAGCGTCTAACAAGTAACATGTAATGTATTGCCAGCTCAATGTCAGTCACAAACAAATGTAATCTTTGGTTCTGCAGCACAGCCGAGAACCAAACTTCAGCCTGTATTCAGTCAACAACATACAGGGAGCCAGTGTGAAGAGGACTGCAGGCTCTACCTATCAACATGTGAGGTCTTTCGCCGGCATCAGCTCCACTGCGCTGGGTCAAGCCAACACCAGCCACAGTGAGCCTGGAATGGCCTGGAATCGCTCCGTGCCAAAACGCTCTGCTCCTCCGCAGGGATTTCCTTCCAGCAGGGCAATCTACAGGGAAGAGAGAAGCAGCGCTCACTTTGTAAAGACCCCCACCTCCCCTCTGCAGTTTCAGCCCGTGTTCACCATGAATGGCACCGGTCAGACCAAATCAAGCAACCAGTTCCTGGGCAGCAAAGTTGAGGTGACCAAAACAGCTACTGACGGTCCTGCAGAGACCAAAGGAAATACAGGGTGAGTGAGATTAATAACTTCCACATTTTAGACTTAATCACATGTTTCAGTAAACACATTATACTGGCATGCTCTGTCTATTGAAATAACATTTAAATTGTATTTTAATATCTTTTAGGTCAGATACTGCTAACATCACTATGAAGGAGGCTGTGGAGTATCTCTCCAGTGTGGAGGAAACATATCAGCACTGTGGCGCTTCCTACATACAGCACAATACTTTCATTAACGAGAAGGCTAAAGATGAGGTGTGTGACTTGTTCTCTTCATATCATGTTGACTGACATTTATTTAAATATGATACATTTATTTTAGAGTCGATGTCGAAATCTTGATTGACAAAGGTGGAGTTAATATGTCATGCCAAAATGAAATCCCGTCATTGCGTACTCACCCCATGTCAGTCTCCAGTGAAGATTTTGTAGTAACTCAATACAGCACTGGCTTGTCATTTGGTAACAGTGAGGGCTGTGGGATAAAATGTGTGATTTCCTGTGAGTCCCTCGTGCAAGGATCTGTAGTTTGATTCCAGCACAGAAATGACTTCAGCACTAACAATTCAAATATTTCAAACAGGAAGTTATAGGACGAAAAAAAAATGAAATGGCTGTCCTCGGAAAAACATGGTTGAATTCAATACAAATCTTATGGATCCTTTTTATTAATTTTTCCTGTAGTGTGTTATAGGTTTGTGTGCATGTAAATGGCCTGCAAAGGCTGATATAATAGTGTTCACATCAGAGGCAGTTTCTCTCCCACAAATTATAATCCCTTTTATTTAATTGTGGCGAATTACCACTCTTTGGACAACAAAATCCCCTTTGCATCACAGGTGTTGAAGTTCAATGGAATCCATCCTCTGGTGGATCTGCTGCGCAGCCAGAGCTCACCGGTCAATGAGACGTCCTCTGCTGCCCTCCGTAACCTGTCCTTCAAAAGCATCAGCAACAAGGAGGAGATACATCGCTCAGGAGGCATCACGAAGGCTGTGGCTCTGCTCAGAGAGACAGACTCTGTGGAGACACAGACACAGCTAACAGGTATACGTTTACTCTGAAACCTATAGACCCACATACAGGTACATACACACCTATCCATGCAAACAAGTCAAACATAGACACCTTTGTTGTGTATAACAACATAGACCTGTGTTAGATCCTGCTGTCATTCACTAAAGCTCTTCTTAAGTGCTGTCTTTCTAAGTGTTGAAGGGTCATTGACATCGCTAATGTTTTAGTAACACTGATGTAGATGGAAATGTGTTAAATGGTTGAAGTTACAATAGACCGGTTTTAATCTCTTTGGCGATAAGCAGTAATTATTTTTGGATCTTTGCATCGGTGGCTGACTCACCATCGGGTTACCACCATCGTGTGTGTTCAAGATTACCTTAAACTACGGTTGCATTCAAGCGGCGCCAAGACAAGTTTCAGGCACAAGTTTCAACAGCTTTTACTGTTGTTAAAACGTTTGATAGGATAGTAAAGTGTTCACACACATTGAACCTACATAATCAACATGCTGATGATTTATATCTTCAACAGGCAGTACATGAATATTTGATTGAACTGAACTGGTTTTCTTTTTCTGTCTAGGTCTCCTGTGGAATTTGTCGTCTGTCGACAGCCTGAAGCCAGACCTGCTGAAGAGTGCTCTGCCTGTGCTAATGGAGCAAGTGATCCTGCCCTACACTAAAGGTCCCGACAGGAACAGCAGCAGCAGCCGAGACCCAGAGGTCTTCTTTAACGCCACTGCGTGTCTAAGGTGAGAACAACACTCCAACTGAGCACCTGATAACATGCCAGGGTTTTTGCTATGGCTCTTAGAAATATTGTGTTTGTACCTATGTGTAGCCCAGCTCAGGATCAAAGAATATGATATCACGTTATATTTCATTAAGCTGAAAAGTCAACCTAAGCAACCTATAATTAGTGCATTAAACTATTAGCATACAAATAGCAATTATATTGGCTCCAAATAAGGCAAGGCAAGGCAAGTTTATTTATATAGCACCTTTCAACACAATTCAAAGTGCTTTACAAAAAATGAAAGACATTAAGAAAATGGCATTTAAAATCAGTCATTAAAAAGCAAAGATAATAAAATAAACATTAAAAGAAAAAATACATGAATAAAAGTTACAGTGCAGTCTAAGATATGAATAGTTCAATTAAAAGCAGCGGCAAAAAGAAAAGTCTTCAGCCTGGATTTAAAAGTAGTCAGAGTTGCAGCGGACCTGCAGGTTTCTGGGAGTTTGTTCCAGATATTTGGAGCATAATAACTTAATAAATAAGCCAAACATTTTCAATGCTACATACATAAATGGTTTTTCCCCCCTCTGTTTTATTGGCCATATCGACAAAAAGGCTGTCCTTGTATGGGGATCCAGGATAGCAAACAGGACGGTTTTTAGTAAACATATTATTTGGTATTTTTTACATTGAATCTACAGTTATTCAGTTTAAAAAAGAGGTGTACGAGAAAGATTTGTGAGTAGTACAAAACTGGGTAGAAGTCATCAAGAGTTATCACGCTTGAGAGTGGATGTGAATCTGCTACACATGCTGTAACACAGACAGATACTGTAAACTAATAGCAGTGTATTTATGCTTTTACTACTCACGCTCATGATCTGCTGGTGTTTTTACAATGGGCGGGGTGGGGTGGGGTTCAAGTCCATGTCAGAGATGTTCTCTGGAAAAAGGCAAATAACTACTGTATCATGTAAATCCTTTTATATTCCCTTACTATCATTTAGTAGTACAAATAACATTTTGACCAGATCCAACACAATAAAAGTTTACTATTAAGTTACCTTTGAGAGAAAGATGTGTATTATTGTATACTTTAGTAGTTCAAATGTAATTATCATATACTCAGTTGCCAGGTTAGACTTAGCTCAAAGGTATGAAGTTAAATAGCCTTCGTTTTAATAGGTTTTTGCTAAACGGTTTAAGAGAGATCTTTATTGAGCTTTAATGTTATTTTAGTGGCTGTTGTCCATTAATATAACTTGTTTTCTGGCGGTTCATAACGTGAGATTCGTTTACTAGCATGTCTGCACCAGTAACTATCTGTTGGAATAGATGAAACTGTGAATGTAAATCACATGACCATCAATCAAACCACAGTAACATGTGTTTTTAGTGTTCTTATCTGATGCATCAGAAAGCAGCGTCTGTGTTGTAAAACATTGACTGACTTCCCGTGTCATTCAGTGAGAGCTTAGAGTGTTTCACTTTCTTGACTGACACGATTACTACTGTTTACTTTTAAGGCAAGTTGACATTAATATCAGACAATTCAATCGCTTTAATAAACCTTTGCTGCAGGGCGTTTCCATTACTGTCTCAATCTGAACAATACAAAATAAAACTATATTTGCATAGTGCTCTTTTCAAATAAATCAAAAGTACTCCTCTAAACGAACAATTTCAGAATAATGTATATTTTATTACTGTGTTTATCACTTATGTTAAAGGAGGATTTGTTTTTTTCCCTTGTTTACTGTACTGCTTAGAAGGTTGTGAATTCCACAAAGGGATCAAAAAAGTTTATATTAACCTGTTATTATCCTGAATAATTTTTTAACGTCATTAATATATATCTTTTTCAAACAGAAACCTAAGCAGTACAAAGCAAAGCAACAGACAGGCCATGAGGAAATGTCGAGGTCTGGTCGACTCTCTGGTCAGTTATGTAAAAGAGTGCGTCGATGCAGGAAACCCAGACGATAAGGTGAGAAGGGGATACATTAATGTCTATTTATATATTGCGTGTTATGTTAAACCTGCACGTTTCCTGCTTTACTCACATGTCACACCTTCCTATGGAACTAACAAAAACAACATTGTTACTACAGCAAGAAGCTGCGGTTTGAGTCATACTGTGCTCACTGCCGGGATATCTGTGTACTTTAGTATGAGGCCTTTACACAGCCATGTATACAAACTGTAAATATAGGCAGGCTAGTCATTGCTCTGGCCTTTCAATCAACTGTTTCCATCGAAACAGATGGATATTCTCACTTTTCACTGTTCTAGGAAGAGTAAAATATGTTTACCATTTTCAGTCACAAACAAATGTTATATAATTTATTTATGTGCTACAGCTTTCTATTTGAATTGTAATAGATTCTACAGGAAAAGGACAACGTAACAGCAACAATGCTCAATATGTTAGCTCATATTGAGCATTGTTGAGTTTGAGCACAACTATTTCTGTGTCTGAGTCTAAGTGTGAACTAATGTTGTAACAGTCGGTGGAAAACTGTGTGTGCATCCTGCACAACCTGACCTTCCAGCTGGAGGCCGAGGCTCCCGCTCTGTTCAGCAGGATCACAGCGTTAGCCAAGACTGTCTGCAGGACCTCCAGCGAGGGCGACACCGGGCCCATCGGCTGCTTCAGTCCGCAGAAAGAATCCTCAGAGCACGAGGTGAGGGCGAGGAAGGTGCACAACAGAGAGAAACAGACATGCCGCGTCAGACCAGGGCCAAATGAATGCTTTTATAATGACAGAAATACTTGACACCTCCTTCACTGTCTGTCACTAATCCTTGTTCTTTAAGAGTAATATAATGATGCCAATTACATGCTATTTAATCAGAGCATTTTGTGCTCTTATTTTATAAACTTATAGGTGTTTTCCCTTTCCTGTAGTGTTTTATACAAGTTTACTGTGCATGTAAATGGTCCTCAAAGGCTAGAATCCCAAAGTTCCCTCCAGAGGGAGTTTCTCCGTTAAGCCGTAGACCAATCACAACAGAGCCGGCCAGCTAACCAATCAGAGCAGACTGGGCTCTGGTTTCAGACAGAGGGTGAAAAGAGGTGCTCCAGTACAGGCACTATGAGAAAAATAAAAACCTTTTTGAACATTAACGCATGGAGTCACAGTAGAGGAACAAAATACAAATATGAACCTGAATATGAGCATAATAGGGCACGTTAATGTTTAAACATTTTTTTAGAATATTGCATGTTTGCATCTAGCACCATGGCAAACTATTTTTAAACATTTAGATTCATACTTTGTTTTGTAGTATCCTTTATTTCAAAAAGTCCTACAGGCAAATTCTGCATTTTTTTTAAAAGTAGTGCTGTAGCCGTTACATGTTGATAATGATATGTCCTCTTTTCCTGTCCAGCGCCACTTTGACTACCCGGTCGTTGAGGATCCACAGCCTAATGGCGCTGGTTTTCTGATCCACTCCAGCACTCTGCAGAATTACCTGTCTTTGTTAGCCACTAGTCAGCGAGAAGAAACACAGGAAGCCTGCTGCGGAGCCCTGCAGAACCTCACAACAAACGACGGCATTGTAAGAGAAACATGTTCTGCTCTTGCACAATGACCAAGATAAAAGAAAATACATTTGATTTAAATCTGTCCCGTTGTAGTTTAGGGAGACTATTTTTTAAAAACTTGTTGGTCAACATGATTTATGCATATTTTGATAAATGCTTGCACTGAACCTGATTCTATATTCACAGGTCTCTGGTGTAATGAGCCAGAACATTGTGCAGAAACTGAAAGGCCTGCACGTTATTAGTCCCCTTATAAAATCACCCAAAGTCAACATACAGAGGAACACAGTGGCCTTGGTAGGAAACCTGACCAAGAACCCAAACCTGCACATTGCCATAGGTAAGACGCATCTGCAAGACACAACTTGTAGTTTGTTGCTTTAAATCGGTTCCAGGTACTTTCTCTTCTTTTGAAAAGAAACAAAAAAAGACGCGTCAACTGTAATATGATCCATTTAACAATGTGTGTTCAGAATCTGTAACACCTTTTTGCTTCGTTATGTTTGAGTCATCCCGTTGAAATGCATGATCTTAAACAATATTTTTTGCGGTTTTACAAGTGTTAGCTTGCGTTTAACAGCCTCTTGTTTTGTGTTTTTCTTCTTACTGAAGTTCATAAAGCCCTCCCAGAGCTGCTGGGCATCCTCAGCGCAGGCACCAAGGAAGGAAATGAGTCCGATGACACACTGTCCATGGCCTGTCAGACCTCCAACTGCCTGCTTATGAATAAGCCTGAGATGGGAAAGCACCTGGTAAACAGCACCCTGATAAGTTCCCTCAACGATCTCAGCAAAAACACGTAGGTTGCATGTGAGCAAACAGAGAATGTGCCTGCATATGTCTTAAGACTAAGAGATACAATTAATCAGATATGGGGAATACCTATGACTCACCAAGGATTACATTTTGCATGCTTGTACAACTTCCACAAATCCGAACCGATCTTAAACAACTAATTCTACTTCTTTTTAGACATTTACCCAAATCCAGCAAATCCGCCTCCGTGCTTCTCTACAACCTGTGGTCAGACAAGGATTTACAAGGCTTCCTGAAAAAGGTGAGTGACGATTAACCCTGAGTGCCAAGACCTGTCAAGGTTAGGGTGTGTCCTATCAGATAACTACACCTCAAATGTCCACACCTCGCTCAGGTATCTGTGAGAAACAGAAGGAGAAAAGTTGGATTAGGCAGCGTTAAAAAATGCACTGTGAATGTGAACAAGACGCTAAAGAGACACAGTGGAGGAGTACAACAGGACGTTGGCATGGTGCATTATAACACACAGGGCCATGAACACAGTGCAGTTTGTTTGATGTGCCACTCTATGTATGGTCAGTGTGGTTTCTGAGGTGGTGTACTGATTTATCTCTCACTATTTGTCCTGCAGCAAGGGATGAGTAAGTCCTCATTTGTGAATGACATCACCGCGGCGGCACACAAGTCGGTTCAAGTCGTCGAATGACACGAAAGCTTAATATCCCGGAAAGTGATTAAAGTCACCTCAACGCAGAGGCTGAGCAGCATCCTTCCTCAATTCACATGTCACACAATACATGTGTCTATTAAATGTTTCCATCAACATACAGTAGCTCTGACAATGCTGCAGTTACTTTTTCTTTGTGGGGAAAAAAGGTGGAGGTTAAGATGTTAATTTTGTGTCTGGATTCTGCCACAATGTGCTTGCTTTATTAGATAATAGCATACAGGTTTAGATGTTGTGTTTGCATAGAGGTTGCTGTTTTTAAATCATGATATAACATTGTGTAAAAGTCATTTTGATTATGTAAAATCAACATGGAGAACATTTCTCTGTAGTTGGAGTTCATCGTTTTTAAAGAAACAGTGGCACTGTTTTAGGCAGTGATGTGTGTTTACATTTTGTAATGGCAGGTTTTGTCTGTGGTTAACCACTCTTCTTTTTATATGTGTGTGATCCTTAAACATTTGTATTGTCATAAATCATGTAATTAATAAAGCTAGCAGACATATACTCTTCAAGCTGTTAATGTTTGATATTATCTGGGATTGTGAGGTAATTATCAGCCAGTCACTCGTGCAGAAATAAATGTGTTATTACTGTAAACCTCACTGTCACGCCCCTTTGGGTTTTTGGCTGCTTCTTTCTCAGAAGATCAATAACACGTCTTTCAATCTATGTTTACTCCACCCTTAAACTGTAATTTACTTTCTGTGGTTTAGAACAAGGTCTTAGAGACAGACACTGCAGCTGTTGCTTGCACTTGTTGACTTTAACTTTGGTCCTCCACATTTGAGCATGTAATCCACCCAATAGTCAGGGAGAGTTTCTGCAGTCATGCTTAAATGTATGAGGTATCAAAGTGATTACATTTTTCACTGAAAGATTTATGTGGTTGTTAGAGGACCGGTATTACTGTGGGCAAACATCAAGGCTGCCTGGATTCAAAGAAGGCAATTTGGCCTTTTAATGAAGGTGTGGTTAACTATAATTACCATGAAGGTGATGCTCATCTTGAAATTCCCACAAGTGAAGGAAACAAAGCCTTAAAAATAAAGAAGACACTGTTTCTCTTATTTAAAATAAAGACGTTTTTTTTATTTATTCCAACCACAAAATTGATCACACAAGAACTTATTACTCAATCTTACATTAAGTCTTAGAACTAGGAGTACATTGTAAATGATGTTCGATTGTCATACTTTCATTTCAGAAATCACATACCTCCTGTCAAATCCCACTTTAATAAACACAAGCCGTAACACATCAGTCTAATCATAACCTCTACATTCCTGCGGATGTACTCAGCACACTGATTCACAGATTTGTGTTTGTTGTTTTGTTCTTGCATTTAGAAAGTATTTAGAAAAAAACACATTATGGGGTTGACTTTATTGTCATTAAATGTCAGGTCTGGCAGTTTCCTTCCTGTTGTCGTCACATGTTATTTCCTCAGGCCCCGCTTGCTTCTGATGCTCTTTGAACTGAGAAGTAAAGGAAAGTCAGCAGAGATTGTCGGCACCAAACCTACTCAACCTGTAATACATACGCATCCATGTTTGATCATTTCCATGGGAAATGCATTTGTGTGTTGTGTTGTACTCATTTAGTGTGAGCTTAGTGTCATATACTTTCCTCGATCTTTTAATTCCACAAACTTTAGAAGTTTTATTTTCCTCTGTTGCGTTCATTATTTTGCGGATTTTTTTTTATCCCAGAACGGAATTGGATTTGAAGCAATGTAATGCTATGTTCAGAATCGGGCCATTACATGTTTTCTTGCACTGCATGCAACATGCATCACAGCTGCAGATGTTTCAATCTCATCAGGTCATTTTGAAGTCTGGTCCCAATACAGTTCATCTCTATACAGCTGTGGAACATCATTTATTATTTTTTTTTAATTTTATTAGAAAGCAATATCTTCATATTACACTCTGCATGAGTTGTGAGTTCAATTAAAGAGTGGTCTTCCTTTCTCTGATGACCCTTTGAATTTCTTCTGGATTATTTTAGCAGCACAGATTATACTCAATTTCAGTAGAAAATCTGTAAAGATTTGAGAAAAAAACTAAATAGATTTTTCTTTTACTTTCATGCCCAAATAATCCCATTGCGACTCCATCTGGGGTCCCGACACATAGTTTGGGAACCGCTGCAGTGTAGAAAGCTGCTGCTGGCCTCAGACACTGAGAGCCTGGCATAGCTGACTGCTGTTGTAACGGGATTTGCTACCAAATAGTTGACGTCTATCTTTATCTGCTGTTGCTAGGTACCTGATCCCTGGAGCTTCCCCATGGAAATAGGCGTTTACACATTTCAGATGAAACTGTGATAAAGTATGTGTGTTATGGTTTGGTGGTATACAGTTTTTGAAACTGATTAATGAGTGTTTTACCTGAACATAGAAACATCAAGGCTCTATTTCAAGGGTTTACGTTAAATTATTATTAACAGCAGTATTAGTTTGCAATGCAGACATCATATACTGCGCAATAAACACTTAAGCGTGTTAAAGTTTTGTTTCAGGAGGATAGCTTGATAGTATTGAGATGTCTGCAGGGCCCCGTCACTGCTTTATTGTGAGCGACATTAACTCAGGCCTGTCACGTAGCAGTTATAAGATCTCTCAGCTGTTTCAACCCTGTCTCTCCTTGGAGACTTTGTACACGTGTGCTGTTCAGATAACCCAGCTTGCCCTTTGTTAAAAAAAACCTCTCATGTGCTCTTCCTTTTTTTGTTCCCCCCGTCCTGTTTGGCTACTCCGGAAACTTTAGTCCTGCTGTCAAGCGGATGACACAAACAGCTGCAACTGATGCCGCTTCAAACAAAAAGAGATCAGAAGCGGAGGGGAAGTGGAAATATGAGGAGATGGAAACTTGAAGAGGTCACGAGGTGGACGTTTACATCAGTGCTGAGCCGTAGCAGAGAATTATGAATTGTTACTTATTTAAATGTAACATTCAGCCATTTTGAATCCACCGTGTTAGTATTTAGTGTTTTTCCTCTCTTGATGAAAACTGTTTCTGTTTTGAAGATAAACATTAGATATCAGATGACTATGTTAGGTAAAGAGGCAGTGGTGGAAGATGTACTAACATATTTGAGCGAAAGTGACGTCAAAGTTAATAAATACTACTCATTATTTGGGAGGGCCCATTTCAGAATAATTATTATATTATTGTTATTATAGATGCATGAATGTATACCACTAATATTACAGCTTGCATGTTAGGGTTAGGGTTTACTTGTATATTACTTACTGCTTGGTAGCTTTCGGATCCCCTCCACTGGGGATCAATAAAGTCTTATTGATATACATGAATAAAATTAATGTGTCCATTATATGTGTATTATAATTATAATAATAATAATAATAATAATCTAAATCTGTAAAGTAACTGGTCACTAATGTTAGGGAAATACATTTAGCAGAGTAAATGTTAAATATCTGTAGTAAAGTTGCAGGAAATGAAATCCTCTATGTAAAATGACCTCAAAATTGAAGTTATTTCAGTTAATTTGTTGTACAACAAGGACAAATGCATTTGTGATACAGCATCAGCCTACTTCTTCCTTTCATGCGAAAGCACTGAATAACATCTTTGAAGGGCACAGTGCTGTGGGACTTACACTTTCTGATGATCACTGACTCGGTTTCTCAGCACGGTGACCTGTAGAAAATGGGTTTTTTTTAAGTTAATTGAAATCTGGATAAGCCAATATGCCACAACTGAATCTGACTTATTGAAATGTGTTTTAAAATTGTAATATTACACCATAGAAATGTCTCTGAAAGGAGACAACATGTAATGTCAGCATTTTCTGAACTGTTGAAATCACCAAACTACAGATTCTAGCCATACTAAATAAATGTTTGCAATTCCAACTTCATTTTTAACGTTAATTTCCTTTTACTTGCTGGCAGTCTGAAGAGTGAAGAAAAAGCCTTAACAATCTCCTACAATAGTTTATATCAAGAACAAATGACACTGGGAACAAAGTATGGGCGTCGGTAGGTTAGCTACAGCTAGCCTTAGCTGAAGCTAAACTCAACAACTTTTATTAAACGTTACCTGTTTTTAATTGTGAAATAATTAACAACTACTCTTAACAAAGTAGCAGCCTCTTTAGTAAAAATGTATTGCACTAGTTCATTAGTTTAATGTAGAGAAGAGCTAATATTACAAGTAATATAATAAATGATGTGGCTAACTAGCTAGCCCCTACTGTATGTTACTTTCTTTTCACTGTTTCTTTAGGCTTCCTGCTTCCTGTCATGTATAAGATATTTATCTGTCATTCTTCTTCCTCTTTTACTTCTTTTTTTAGTTACACAAGGGATGTTTGACTGACTTAGCAGAGAAACAGGTAGTCAGATGCAGTATTGTGCATTGTTTTTTATATTGGCCTGCATCCCAGAAACAAAAGACAGGTTAGTGATGATGAGCACATGTAAACACGAAAGTTCCTGTAAGGTTACTTACCTCATACTTCTGCTTAGCCTGCGTATACTGCAGGTCAAACTTCTCTGACTCCAGCTGGTGCAACCATTCAAAGAGTTCCTTGGCTTTTTCCCTGCATCAAGGAAATGATTTTAAGCATTTCACACGATAGATATTCAGAGTTTATGTCAAGTTTTTTTTGTTTTTTACCTGAGTTTCTCCTCTTTCATGTGATCAATATTTAACTCTTTGCGCCGTTCATTTAGGATCTTCTTCTTCTTCTCTCTTTCTGTTGGTTTTTTACCCCCAGGCTGTGTTTGCTAATCAGGAGGAGGACACATGGGGATGTCAACATGGACAGTAGGTTTGTGACTTTTTAAAAGATAATATATGTCTTCACCTTGTATCCAGTGAAACTCAAGTTGGACAGAATCATCTTCTTCCTTGCATCATCGTCTGCTTTCTTCTTTGCCTCCCCGTCTTCTTTTCTCGCTTTCTCTACCTGGTGGAAAACATTATGGCACCTTTAATGAAATGATTCATAGTATTTTGATTAATGACATTCTCGTAACATTGCCAGAACTTGGTTTATTGAAAATAAGTGTAAGGTGGGATTGAGAATGCCAGTCTCTTCAAAGTTTTAAAGAATCTAATTGAAAGAAAAATTGAAATAAAATTAGTAATACTTAGTTTTTTAATGATTTTTAATGTTACTCGAGTTTTTATTCAATTTTTACCGAAAATGGAATATGGAATAAAATGTTTGTGCTCCTCTTGCATTACGAGAGGAAAGTCAAATGTGGCCTTAAATCAAAGAAATGCTGCAACATAGACTTACTGAAAAGATGCAGAATCCCACGTGTTGGACAATACACAGTGTTACACAATGTTCATTATTCCAAACGACTTCAATTTGCATTCAAAATGTTTAGTTGCTATAACATGTACACAATTACTTGATAAGGCTCAATATTTTCAATCTTTGATTTTTGAATTAATCCAAAACATTCTAAATTAGAATTAGATTACATTTTTGGAATACAAAGGATTTTGTTACCTATTACAAAATGATGTTACTTTTATCAGTACAGTACAATTCAAAGTATTCTGCCCCAACCCAGTTATGCTCTGTTAATGTTATCTTTATTTTTATACTTACAGCTTGTTTGTTCTGCCGTTCTTTTTCTAGCTCAGCTCTGATCTTCATCTGATCTGCTCTCTCTGACCTGCGTGTCTCCTGAAGTGGGAAAATAAATACATTTAAAGACAAAAACAAAATCATATAAACACAAAATGTGACAAAAAACACTTTATTATGGAATTGGGTGGTTAAATGTGTGATATGTTGCAGTAGAAGAGAGAGATCATACAATGCGATCTGTGAGGTTGTTAAACTCCTCTTCCTCCTTCTTGCGCTTCTCAAAGTGAACGTCGATCAGAGTGTGGAGCTCAGTCATGTCCTTCTCCATTCTTTTTCGATGAATGTCCTGGAATTATAGCAATAAGTCAAAATGGGAGCCTTTCCAAAAAAATCTGCCCTTCTAATTAAACAACAGCTTGCAGGTGTAACTTTAATCAATTCTGAAATAACTCACATCAAAGTCCACTTTTTCTCCATCTGGGATTTTTGGAGGTGCCAAACCAGCCACAAAACCAGGCCTGATGAAAAGGATGGAAAATGAAAAATCTTTTCAACCGTGTTTCAATTGAAGTTATATGAAAATATTTAAACAGTGCCTTACTTTAACCTGCGCTTTGTCTCATCTGTGTATCCATCAAAAAGAAAAAAGGCAATTCACAATCTTTAGTTCAGGAGGCACGAGAAAAACTTGCAAGCGTAACAAACCCATAGTGCACATTTTTTCCAAAATAAGCTTTCCATACCTGCATCATTTTCCTCCGAGGTCTCTGTTGAAAGATGAGAGGGTCAGTGCAATGTCAACATGATTTCACGCTGACAGGTAGAGAATTACAGCACAGGTGATCCTCAAACAGATTTCAAAACAGTTGTCAAAATGTGTTTCAGTGGTTACCCAATATCTTATATTTATTACATTTTCAGTTTTACTTCGATATGAAAATACATTTTATTCCCTGTTAGCCCTTGAGGTTTAGCAGTAAACAATTTATTCTAGTAAAAGTGTAATTATTCTCAGGTCTCTGATTTAAAGGAAGCAGCTGTCAATAATGATGGAGTTGGAATGACCTCATTGACCTCATTTTAGAAGTCAACTAAAGTGATGTATCAGACAATCTCCTGACAGTGCAGGTGTGTTTAGCAGGCAGCTTTTGATTATCATCACAGGTAACTCCTGTGTACCTGCCCAACACAACATGCATTTAAAGTGTGCCAGAGCAATACATTACCTAAGACACAAAGAATGGCACTACGTCTATATCTGAATGATTACGGATTTAATTTAGGTCTAAAAATAGCCTTAACAAATCACACTCGAAATGGGCATTTTAACAATAGCTGCATTATGTAATAGCGATTATGCTGTTATCAAATTATATTGACAACATCACTGTGCAGTTAAAACTTCAAATGTCTGGGTAATTTAGAGAGTGAAGTGCACATTTTAAAATAAATAAATAATTAATATTGAATTATCTGCAAAATGTTATTGCATGAAGCGGAAAACAAGGCTGTTTTTCTAAGCTGCCAACAATGTGTTAGGAATAACGTCAGATCTATTTACAGCATGCAAACAGATATTAGCATACTAAGCAATACTACCTTCTATCTCCTCCTCCTTCACCTCCTCCTCTACCTCCTCTACCTCCTCCTCCTCTACCTCCTCTACCTCCTCCACCTCTTCTAACTCTTCTTCCTCCTCCACCACCTCCTCCTCCTCCTCTTCTGTGCAAAGCAAGCATGTAGAGTTAGCAAGCAAACAATGTGAACATCTCATACAGCATTTAGATCAATCATTATTTATTTGTGTATTTTTGACGGTGCCTCTGAAACCTAGACACTGATTTAGTCACAAAACATACAGCATTTTTTTTATATTCTTGATTTTAATCCTATTGTATTCTAGAATCTGACATTTCTTTTAGCCAATCATTGGAGGTTTTAACTTTCCCTTTCCTATGCAGTTATTGGCAATGGAGGGAATTTTCAATATATTATATAACTTTTCTTTTTAATGAAACTGTGTAGACACATTAGAAAAAAAGCTGTCAATGTTTGCCTCACTGGAGTCAGAATGTAATTCCCACCAATTTGTCTGTGGTTGCTTTAAGCTTTTGCGCGTTTGACAAGCATTTAAAGGCAGGAAGCATTTCTCTCCTCACTGGGCCTCTGTGGGAAAGAGTGACCCCAGGCCTTCAGTCAGAGTCCCTGTATGCACAGAGGGTAACTCAACCTCTATTCACTGCAAAGAAGGTAATCCAACCTGCATTCAGAGGACCTCTAACAGGCACACAAATGAGAGTGGGTATTGTGCTTGTGCCGCTGTCTTCCCCAAGGTCTTCTATTGAGAACATAAGCTGACCTACATTGCTCCCCAACAGAGACTTCTACTCCACACAGAGCGGGACAGGTGCCGCTTAGCTGAGGGGACAGCCGAGCTGCACAGGGGCCCACATGGACAGCCTCACAAAGGACAGAAATAGAGGTACAACCCTCCATTTGAATAGAAAGGACAGATCCACTGGGATCTATATCCAAGGTGAGCTGTCTCCAGCCTCTGGTAGAGAGGAGGGACTGAGAGGACAAAGGTCAATCTGAGCTCACAGCAGCTGCTTCTACAGTGGCACCAACACGCCAAAAATACAGTATGCTGTATGGTGAAGCCAGAAGCTTAGCAGAAGCAGTGTGTTAAGCAACTTTAAATGCAAGATTTGATTGTGTAAAGCAGGTAATAATAAAGTAGCAGAACGAAAACAACCAGCCTCTAAAGGTTTTACATTCAAGCAAATGTTGTTTTCATAGATATTGTTTGCATTAAAGAACAAAAATATCCTCAACCCGAGCAAGGTCAACTATTTCACAAGTATAGGCACAAACAAAATGAATTTCTGACATGTAAACATGCAGCATCATCATAATATTCATGCATTTTTGTTTTTAAGTGAAGCAACTGTGAGAATGTGCATCCTATTAACTTCAATTACAAACTGTTAAGACGCATCTTGAACTGACAAGCTGACTTACCTTGTTCCCTGAAAGAAGAAAAAACAAAACCAGAAATTGTTACGATTGATTTCATCTCTGCTGGCATCACTTTGTTACCATCACTCTCTTTTATGCAAAAAATATCTATTTACTCACTCGTACTGGGCTTCTTCTGTGTCAGACATGTTTAGGATGCAGCACCTGTACAAGTAAGCCCAATGCAAAGGTGATTGGTACTGTACCAACAACAATAATAATTCCAAATTCAACCCAGATGTGTCAAATGCAGGTTGGAAACACATAAGAAGAGCACACAGACTTACCCAGATAGTGCGATGCGCGCTTCAAACTGGACTCAATGGGAAATTGTATACTGTGCCCTTCTCTGTGGGCCATAAGCTTTTAAACCCAGTAGTGGATCACATGGCAGTAAGCATCCCATGTCCACAAAGGGTGGGCACATACCTGCAAACAGATGGCACATGGCATTAACTAGAATGGGAAAACACACATTCTCCATGGACTTGCATTGTCTATTTTTACACGCAAAACTATAGACTCCAGAGCGCAGGATTATTGCTCATAAAAGGTTTCAGAGTGGAAGGCTGGATGTAATCTTTGTAAACCTCCTCTTGTGTGCAGGCAAATACACAAGACGACAGCTTTACTTTGTATGATTCTGCAGATAAATTGCAGGTTTATCTCACAATAGCATCTTCAACTGACAATTAATCAACAGAAAATACATTATAAGAGTATACTGAGTTATTTGTGAAGACAAAATACTGAATGTGTGGTTCCTGCCACACACGAAGCACATGATTTATTGGTTTATTCAATGCAGAAAGTAGTCCATATTAGCAGGAAACTCTTTAGTGGACATTTTGATGGGTAATTATTGTGTTTTATTGTGTCAAACATTATTAAATTTGATTAAATCGATTAAATGATTAATCGGTTCACTATGTTCATGGTTCCTGTTGTTATTTAGTTTAAAGAGCAATTATATTATTTTCATTGAGTCTCGAAATGTGTTTAAAATAGGACATCAACATTTTCCCTAAACTGGGCATTTCATGTCATATCTTTGTGCAATATTCCCATAGCAGGTAGCCAAGGAGATGAGAAAAATAAAACTCCCTTTACTGTCTCCTGTGCCTCGCCTTTAATCTTGCATCCCTGCCCTCACATGCATTGGTGTTCTATCAACAACACCCTTTATGAGGATGCCAAGTCTTTTGATACTCCCAGTGCTTGCTGTTAATATTAAATCTGACCCCGCAGCCGGGGTGACAGTATGACTCACCAGATGTCTCTCGTGAGCCAAAATGTAACAGTGATTGAACAGAGTTCCCCTCCAACTCCATCGGGCTTTGTTTACAGATTGTTTGCAGCTACTTTGAAGTCTCATAGGGACTAATAAAGGTCAAGTCGCACCAGTCAAGTCTTCAGAAGCAAGAGGCAGTCAATAACAAGTGTTGCTCGTCTCTGTACAAAGATAGCTTGAAGTATTTGAACATTTTCCAAACTATGTTACCAGTGGTCTTACATGAGACTAAGTCAATTTAATAGCACTGATACAACAATTAAATGTTTCAGGTGTTTACTAACCCCCTAACCCTAAATAATGACTGTTTTTAAAGATCTAATCAAACAAGGCTTGACTTAAGTTTTAGACAAATATAAAATATATTGATATTAAACCCACATGAATATATTATGATTCATCCCCAAATGTTTTTATGAGTTTATTATATTATAGAATATAAAAACCTATGCCGCAGATTTATCTTTTGACAAAATCCTTAACAGAGGTGGTTTGAGATATCCATTTATTTATTATTTAATTGCAACACCCAACGGAAGCCCCAGGAATTTCACAAACGTATTATTTTTATTTGAAATGTTGCGATTTTCGGGCAATGATGACCCTGAAAGAAAAAGTAAACTAAACTAAATCTGAGTTTCGGATTATAAGGACGACCCTTATAGGGAAAGAGACTTTCTGACAACGGGGGGACCCTTAACTTTAAAAGTTAGATATGGACAGCAGGGGACCCGGACACTAAAAAGTAAACTAGGGGGGACTAGTCAAGGGGGGGCCCTTGCCTAACAAGTTAGTTCCGCACAAAAGGGGGGACATTTAATTAAAAAGTTAGTCATGGACAAAAGGGGTGATGCTAATCTAAAATGTAACTTTTTATATAAGGGGGTCCGGTCCCTATTCTTAAAAGTTAGTTCCAGACAAAAGGGGGGAACCGTATCAAAAAAATGGACGTGGAGGGCCCGTTCACAACTGCTTTCAGCTTTAATTACTATTATTATTGTAAATGTTTGTGTGAAGTTTGAATGGTTAATTTACAGCTTTAATATATATATATATATATATGTATAAATAAATATTGTCTGGGCTAACAGTCCATTTTTTTTTACTTTGCACACTGGTATTTTTAAGCATACGAAGGTTTATACTCACACTTACATGTACAACAGGTTTTCTATATGTTTTGTTTACATTTAAGTTCCCTTTCTTTCAGCCTGAGGTGTTTGAGCACAAATAGCCAACTGACCTATTTTTCTTTGTTTTGACATGTTTGCATTGCAAGTGGGACTGACTGACATACAATACAGATGACTCACAGCACAGGAAAATAAAAATACCCCACAGAGAAGTCATTCATAAGATAAGCAGCAAAGCCCTACAACATGATATTCTATCCCTTAATAAAAGCCCTTCATGAAAAGAAGTTTGTGTTTGATGATGTTGTGTTACTTAGTTGAATGGAGTGCAACCCAGTCAATCACAGTATTGAGTTATACTTTCCTTTGATTAAAACAACGTTCCCCTCCTGATTTTTTGTTGTTGCAAACTCCACCCGTCTGGCCTGGAGATTAAAACAAACAACAGAAAGCACTTAAGGCCTTATAATACTGGTTAACCCTGACATGGCTCCAGTCCTGACAGGGATCTTCAGACTCACTGTCTTAAGTTATGTTAAGCATAATCTCTTTTCAATTAGCAGCACAGGCAATAAGACCCAAACAGTACCTTTATTCAGGTTGTTATCTTAAGTTGCTGAAACCTGTTGGTTGGAAAATGATGTTCTTACTAAACTGAGCTGATACTGACACCTTGAGGGGGGAATGAAAGTATTTTATGCATTTTCCGTCATCTTTTCTAAAACGATGATATGGAAGTACTAAAATAACCAGAATAAGAATTAAGAACTATTAACAAATTAATATTAATTAGTGGCCTACTAAAGGCACCTTAAACTGACCTGAAAAGGCCATTCTATACACTGGGTTTGGATTGTTGAGGGAAAAAAACAAGCACTTAGTTGATTTCACCCTTTTAGGATGATTTTTGGATCATTTTGAAAACTAATCGCACTATCTTAAGCACTGTTAAATTAACATTATGAATTTGTGCACTTTGGAATTAGGAAGCTGTTGTTGTTTTTAACATTTAATGTTGAATTAATTATAACATAAATGTATGCATGGTTTAGCCAACAGGATTGTACCTTGGGAAGAGCCTTAAATTCACCCCAAACACACTTTATTTCAATACCAACATATAGCCTACTGTAAAAGTTAGTCAAAACAACAACTGCTTATTGTGTGAACGTAGTAAAGACTATAGTATTTTATTTCATACAGGTGGAAAGGGCAGGTGAGTCTCGCATACGACGTGACCCTTCATACATGATGCAGCATATTTCAAACGCACCCCTCACAGAGACGCGGGCTCTTTAAACGGGTTGTGTAGCTGTATACTCCGCTGGGAAATTAGCATTTCCATAAAGAAGCTAACATGCTGTTCCAGGAGGAATGTATTGAAGTAAAAGCTAGTTATAGCCATATAGTTCGCCCCAAGTTTGAGTTTAATGTCCTGCTGTCCTCGGCTGCAGACAGACTCTTCGTAAAGGATTTATTCTCCTGCGACATGCCAGACTGTGTCACTGCGTCACTTCACCAGGCTAGAGCAGGTATGTACAGCTTATGCTAGTTTAGCAAACTATTAAATGGCTGTCCTGCTGGTTGATGTTTTGCATATCTGCACATATGCTGCTGTCCATGTAGCTACTTCATGTGCATTGTTGCCAATTTTTTATTATTCTTTGTACTGGTAGGTTTTGGTTTGGTACATGCATTTGAGGTTTCTTGCTCTTTATATTGATGATAAATTACATCCTGGGTTGTTATTGTTGAGTCTTATATTTTGTTAAATGTGCGTCTTTCTTGACTCTTCCATGATTGTAGTTTTGGCAACTTCTGAGTTATCTGTACTTGGTTACATTTGTATTAATTTCCCCATGAAATGTGTGTGATTGTGTATGGATGACAGCCAGGCAGTCCCACACAAACTAACCATACAAACAACATCTTAAATCCCCTGACATTTCATCACAACAGCTGATTGATGTGTGTTCGCAAAACTTTGTGTCTTTTAATATTTAAAGACCAGCAACAGATAGACACGAACAGTGAGACTGCATAGGCTGTATTTATTTCAGTGATAATGCAACAAAACACACAGTAATGAACTGAATATATAATGTACCAAAAGATTCCCTGTAGCCCTGTGAAGTGAGAGTTTATGCATTAATGTGTGTTGTATGCACTCTTTGGAGCCAGCTGTTTCTTTCACTAACAGCCATTTACTGGTTTTGGCCCATTGCTGCATCAAACATCTTCTTGCGGCCCTCCATGCCCGACATGGCCTCCACATTCTTCCTCCAGTCGTTCACCTCCACCGTCTTCTCCTGCACAGACACAAACACAGAGACTTTGGTGAAATGTTCCCTTTTGTTATGCTGTTCTGCACATTTTGATGTAGGAGATCTCTATTAAGTGACTCTCTAAACTAAACCCTATTCAGATATGAATCCTTATTAAACATAATATGATATCCTGACCCTTACACCTGTGGTTTTTAATTTTGTTTTGGCAAGCTAAGAAAGCTTAATATTCTGTTTCACACATCTATACCAGTCAACAAAAGTAATGTGCTGCATAAATGACCTCAGCACATTGTGTGCCCTGTCAATACATCAGGATTCTTTCCCTTTGGCTAAAAATGCTCCTTATGATTTCTCTGCACTTTTCCAAACCAACCTTTTCTGTGTCATCCTTTTTGACTGATTTAAGATTCGCTCTCAGATCCAGAGAGACTTTGTGTTTGGAGCCCAGTAGGGAGCGCAGGATGGCGTCAGCAGAAACCCTCACCCTCCTCAGGCTGGGTCTCTTAAACTTCCCTCGCAGGTCCACTACCTTGATGTTCAGGTCTTTAATCTATGGCGAAAAAGTAGAGAGCAGTGGTCGAGTGTAACAAAGTACATTTAAATAGGTAAAGTACTTCAAGTGTTATGACATCATAAAGTGGCCAAAATCTGATCAGCTCATTTTCAGACAGGTTTTTATAATAAATGGATCAGGACAAAAAGAGGGGGGGGGGGGTCTTCGTTCCTGAAACTTTCAGAATCTCTTAACGCAGAGGGGACACATGTTTATGTATAAAATAAATGAAAAAGTGGATTTTGCATAATAGGTGACCTTAAATGTTCAAAAAGTTGTTTTTTTCTTCTCATACTGCTTGTGCTGCAGCACCTCTTTTAAGAGCCCAGTCTGCTGTGAGTGGTTAGCTGGTCGGCTCTGTTTTGATTGGTCAACTGCTTAGAGATATCCCACCTATCACGTGCAATGTTTTGGAGCGTTAGTCAATGGAAGCTTGGGTGACATCACACAGTGATGTAAATAAATAAATTTAAGTTTTCCGCACTCTCGCGGGAATATCTCCGCAATGGAGCGAGCTTAAGTTTCACTTTTAATTGCATGATATAGCCCAGATAAACACCTTCATCACACATGTGGCTACTTGTTTGTACCATTTTCAGGCGATTTGTAAAAAACGATGTGTTTTTGGATATTTGTGGAGTCCGCGAGTGTTTTTTTATTGGTTAAGTGGTCCTTGGTATGAAAAAGTTTGAGAAACACTGCACTACAGGAAAGATAAAACCCCAACATCATAATAGGGCCTCTGTTATGCTACTTTATTACATTTCATAGGGACATTTGTATTTCTTACTTCACTAACACTAATGGTTACTTTTTACATACAAACACATGACATGCTAATATCATATTGATGCACTACTACTATTTTGCATGTTACAAATTATCTAGAAATGGTCCCATATGGTCCCCAACTACAACATAATATGCTCTTACATACATTATTTTGTTCTAATGTATTACCTTTGAAAAACGTCCGCATGTTTCTACTTCAAGTACATTTAGCTGATAATAGTATTGTAATTTTCAGGTAACATTTGCAATTCACGACTTTTACTTGTAATGGCTAATTTAGGACTATACTATCTCTACTTTTACTTCAGTCAGTGGTCTTAGTACTTCTTCCACTACTCATAAAGAGTCATTTCATTTAGGTAATTTGCCACAGACAGTGGGAGCTATTCAACTTGGATGAAATGAAAGTAAACTTTCTTGGTGTTTAAGTACTTGTTTGACCACATCAGAATGCTGTTACAGCTTTGTGATGTATGTATATTTAATTGTTATAGTTAGTTTTGCAACAAAACAAGCTGTTCATTGTTATCTTTCTTAAACAATGTTCAGTTACCTCTCTGGTGTTGTGCAAGGCTTTGGCTTCAATATCATATCGCTCCTCGTCCACCACGTCTATTTTGGCATACAGCTCTTTGCATAATGTCTAAACAAAGACAAACAAATAAGAAAAAAATAATATTGACTTCATCACCAGATCTTTAGCAACATTCTTCTGGAGTTTAATCTTGCAAATCTGATAGGCAAGTGTGGGATTCTACCTTTAGCTCTGCCAAGGACATGCAGCTGGTATGTATAGGAGGAGTGTTTTCTTCCAGGTACTTTTCCTTCTCTTCCTCCTTTTCTTCTAACTCCTGCTCCAGCGCCTCCTTGGCCGTGGCAACCAACAAGCTCTGAAATATCACGAACCAATCATATTGAATCTAGATTTACTGGGAAGATGCAGTCTGGGCAAAACGGACTGAGGACTTACCTTCAGCATTAGCTTGCGAGAAGCTGAGATCTTTGATTTCCTCTGCAAAAAGATTGACTTTTTTTTTAATATAGTGTGACATAGTAGCAAGTGATAAAGTGATAATGGGTCTGTCGTCTTAGTGTGCAGTCTTTTGTAAAAACATACCTCTGGTCTGTCGATGGAAAATACAGAAAGGACAAAATAGACAGAAGAAATGTAAAATGTGTGTCAATTGCAGATAGAACAACTTGGTCATGCATATTAAACTTCATTATGTGCTTCTATCGATGCATACATTTGCTTTATGATACTGATACTCTGATTTGGAAATGGAAACAATAACAGACACACAATACTTACACTTTCTCAGGCATCTTGGTATCTCAATTCCCCCTGGAAGACAAAAATAAAACCTTTTTCCTCTGAAGTGCTCATCAGGGGGACCACTGGGTCGAGGGCCCCAAAGGGTCTTAACTATGGTCCCCCTTTTAGCTCCACTATACATACATTCAAATGCATTGACTGTAGTGTTACAAGACTGGAAATATAGAGGATACAATGATCTATTTAAAGCTCTTATTTTGTTTATGTTACTCCAATGCTTTTATTATCCTTTAACACTGATATGTATTATATTTGAAGTTACTAAAGGACATTTCTCGCCACATGGCTAACCTTGTTTGTTTTGTTTATCAGGCATTGTTATATTATCTAATTTGTAGAAGGGCCCTCTGGACCAAATCACCTCTCACCTCTCAGTGTTGATAACACAGACGTCTGGCAGACGGGAAGAAGCATGCACAGCCCAACAAGAGCAGATCATCCAAATGACATTCCCTGCTTACACCCCCTTTCCCACTGGATAAAGACAAAGACCATAGACTGGGTCGCAAAGCAACACACAACACTGACCCAAACTTATTTTTGAAGAAAGCTGAGCTGACTTAACCAAGGCCAAACAATACATGTACAAATAGGAAGAACTGCATGTTCTACATACTGTAGCTTTGGGTTATATTTACCTTGAAACTGTATTGTCAACCATATGAGATTATATAGAGCTGCAACTGTCAATTATTTTCAATTCTGTGTAATTACCAAATTATTTTTAAGGGCTGTAAGATATCAAAATACTTGTTTTGTCCAACAAACTTTTCACAACCAAAACATATTAGATTTACTACCATTCATTTAATCATGGAATTATGAGTTTTATTAATTAAAAATATTTGTTTTGATTCACCTAATTGATTAAAGAACTAATCATTTCAACTTTAGATTTGACCATACCTTTTTAATATCTCTCGCTGTATTGTGTCAAGCTGACTTATTGTGACAATTTAGTCTATCCATCTATTTAATTCACTGGATTAGCTAAAAACAGACATTTATGTGTGTTATTTCACCTATTAAGAGTTAATAATTACTCAAAAGTTTCATCCATAGCATATCAAAAATACTGCTAAAAAAAGGACATATACTTTGAAAGAAGATTGTAATATAAAAATAAACTGAATCTTTGCTTTTTGGACTGTGGCTCCGCCAAAAAAATCCCCCAAAATGCCTCCCCAAAGTTTCTTGGAACTTTTTGGATGTCTATTAGATTTTCTAACCATAACATCTATTGATGACGAACATAATCAGTAATTGCTACCCAACATTTAGTTACAATGTTTTTCACATTATTAAATATATTTTGATTCAAAATATGTTTTTCTATGTGTAATTTCATTAGTTAAATCCAAATAAAATCTGATCCTAGATCAAACCAACTGTACATAATTACACAGAATGAATCGGGTAAATTGATGGAGCATATGGCCTTTCTTACCTTTCTATGTTGTTGCTGTGGATTCAGACGGACACAAAGTGATGGAGAGAAGAACGTACCAGAATATTTATCTCCTGCTGCCCTCTATCCCTCCTCTATCACAAAGAGACTTAAATAGAAGCACTCACAAATACACACAAAAGAGAGGGGGTGGTCTCAGGATAACAGTAAGTGATGCTCATGTTGTGCTGACAGATCACCGATCGCTGCTTTCTTATAATAATGTGTGAGAACTTGTCTGTGTGCCAAGGCGCGATAAACAGCGTTCTTGTCGACTTTCACACCAGCCGTTTGCAGTTAGTTGTTAATCTGGTGTTCCTCTTGTGATATATTTAAAGGATCTTTCTCTGCTCGTGTACACCAGCTTTGTTAAACCTCAACAGATAGCTGCTGTTTATACAGACAGAAGTTACTTGTTTTCCAATTTTAAACTAAACTAAGCTGCTGTAGCCAAACAGTTTTTCTTGTGGCTATAGATGATTTCTGAGACTTTCTTTGGCTTCGAAACGTGATGTTGGAGACATTCCCTGCCCCCCACCACCCCAGAGACTTCAGGCCCCCGTTGGTCTGATTAGGATAATGGCTGCAGACAATGCTAAGCTGTGGTTTTATGGCAGGAATGCAGTTTCCAGTATACATTTAGCTAAGGCCAACAACTAAACATAGATACATTGCAGAACCATGTGATGCTGCCACTCTTTGATTCTGGGGCCGAGCTTTCATACTGTATGCGTGCTCAAGGTTTGTGTAGGCGTGGGACGCTGAAGCAAATGTTCGTAGTGGCCAAAAGGTGGTACTACTACGTTCATTTATAGCCCTTACATCATTAGGGTCTACGCATGGTAAAAGCGCTAAAACCATAAGCAAAATGCACGTTTGCATGCTCTATCCGCCCAGATAGGGGTTGCTCCTAAGGGTCAGGCCATTTTGGCTTCCTTTGCTACTGAGCAACTTTCATAGGAATGAACGTTGTCCCGTCTCCAACAATTTATTCAGTTGTCTTTATAGATCCATGGAACATACGCCAGTGCTGAGTTCACTAATGCAAAGACAAAAAGTTCATACATTAATCCACAAAATCACTCGTGTGGTTTGTGTTCATATATAAACAAACCTGCCTTGCCTTGGGTGTGTGGCTTTTGAGATCGATAAAATGTGCCAAACTGTTCTTTAGCTCTCGCTGAGTCAGGAGGACAGCCCTGCTGCTGATTTGATTTATGACACTGAGATCCAGCCTGTGGGCTCATGGCAGCTGATTATAATTCCTCAGTAAATATGGCAGCAGGATTAACAAAGTGCTGTGTGTGTGTGTGTGGGTTTGTGTGTGTGTGTGTCTAGGAAACTGAACACTTACTCGTATATTCAAATGTCAGTGGATTATACTACAGTATAGTCGTTTTCACATGTGACTTTTGCTTTCTCTGCTGGCTGAGATGTCTTACTAGCCGACTCTTATCAGCTAATAAAACACAGTTTGGTTGCGTCTGCTGCAGTGTCAACCTCTTTTAAATCCAATACAGATTATGACAGAGCTGCTAACCTAATCTGACACATTTAGGGGAAACCGAACACAGTAGATGTGTCAGTCGGTTGTGAGGCTTTTTTCTTACGTAATCTTGAACCACAACGCAATGTTGTAAAACATTTTGCCGGGAAGAAAATGTTCGGTGACGTCTGTTTCATTTGACTTGCATGTTAAACAGTGTTTAAACCTTACATAATTGCTCTTGTCTTCATGGCTTTGGAAGGGTAAACCACCAGTTCAACAAATGTAAGGAAGTCAGTGCAATCGATCGCAAATGACCATCAAATTATACAAATATAATTTAAACCAAAGGATTCCTTTTTGGTTCATTTTTTAAGCTACAAAGACTTGTTGCAAAAATACATGAATACCTTCACCTGATCACTCTGTAAGATTATATTAAATTCCTCTACTGCCCTCTGGTGGAGATAGTCTGAAGAGAATTGAACTACACATCAATGGTATTTTCATATTTGCAACAGGCCGTTACAGTTCTTCTCGATTGCTAACACACTAAAATGCTACATGAAGCACAATTATTTTAACTGACACTCAAAGAGCAAAACATCGGCTCAAATCTCCAAAACTCTAAACACGTTTTCAGCTTTTCACACAATTTACAAATCAACATGGATCTTTGTGCAAACCACTGCACACGTTTCTCCACGTAAGACACAGGAATCTGACATAAAGTCACGTGTTAGCAGGTTTAAAACACTGATATTCAAAATGCCTCACACATGGACCAATGATCAAGAAACACGTTCCACCTGACCAAACACCTGGTAGCATAATCGTTGGCTCATCAATCAGGATGTTAGCACTATGAAAAGACCACAGGTGAGTACTTTCTTACAGCAACCATGGAAGCCAACATGGAAGCAAGAGCAAGAGGAAGAGGAAGAGGAAGAGCTGGGCTGAGAGTGAGAGGAGGAGGAAGAGTACTCTCTAATGAAATGAAATGTTATCAACCATGGTTTGATGATGAGAGAGGCTGGACGGAGGGTTCAGCCTAATCCAAGCCGATGTACTGTTGCCTCTGTAATCCGGACACTTAGACTTGAAACAGGTTAGTTAGTTGTAGCTCTGCATAACTCATGATATATCAGAGCTTATATCTGATGTGTGAAACGTATTTACTTCATTACTGTCATTGAATTGTTGACATGTTGCATGCTATAACTGTACAAACATCCTGCACAATGTACTGTGGTAAACTCACTTTTAAGCAACACTGACCGACCACTATGTCTTTGTTGTTTATCTGAAGGACTGAGAAACAAAGAGGTGGAAGGCTAAGGGTTTCCAATGAGGCAGGAAGCAGCAGTTACAAACTGGGTTTTGGCAAACAATGCCATCACACTTAGAGATCCGAAGCATAGTAGCTATGTGCTGAGATGCATGTTGCACAATGTTATCTTTGAATTAAATGTGATTTTTTTTCAACAACTCATTTGTATTTTTTCACTTACTGTATTTCTGTAAACTCAAGCAATCTTTCTCTGCAGAAACCTCTCTGTACAGAGCACAGCCCATAACAGAGGAGAGTGCTTTAGAGCAGTGGTTCCCAAACGGTGTGCCGTGAGGCAAGTCCGGGTGTGCCGTGGGATTTTGTGACAACCATACGTTATTATTGCAATATACAACTACACACAAATAATTACTTTTGAATTTACTATATCAGTACTTTGTAGGTTTATATGTACGTAACCTGCGCGACTTGTGCGTCCACATCTCCTCGTGCAGTGCTGCATAAACATGGCTGAGTCAGCGATAACTTTCGAGGGGTGGAGGTATGCCCATTATTTTGAGTTCGTCCGAAGAATAGACAGGAATGTGACGGTAAGGTGCAAACTGTGTCCAGGCCAGAAGCTGTTATCCACTGCTGTAAACACCACGTCAAACCTCAACACACACCTGCAAAGAACACATGCTAAGGTGAAGCTACCGCACACGCTATTTGTTGTTTGTTGATATCACGTAGTCTGTTCTTCTTCTCTGTCTTCCGGTTGTTGCCTGTTTTGAATGACAAATACACACTACCGCCGCCTGCTGGTAAGGAAAGTTATTGCCACTCACGCATGCATGTACGTGCTCGGCGAGTAAAGTAACGAGTTACTTTATGTAGATAGTAACGAAGTAGTGTAATATATTACTTTTTTTAAAGTAATATGTAATATATTACATTTTTTTAGTAACGACCCCATCTCTGGAGTTGGCGTTCTCTACTCTGATTTACATGAAGAACAACAGGAGGTCACGGCTCTCTGTTGAACAGGACTTGCGAGTGGCCCTCTCCTCAGTGCCACCAAGGATTAAAAAATTCTGCGCGCCCCGACAGGCACATGTATCTCACTCATTTGTAAGTCAGCAAAAATATTTACAATAGCACATGTTTCAATGCTGATTGCTGAAATGTTACATTTATAATTTGTAGTTCAGGACCATGGACAATGCAGCTTCCTTGCATTGACAGTTCTCTGTGCTGAATTTCTGCTGAGTTTCCTTTGCCTCATTTTTTATTTTGTGACCTGTCTGGTTTAAATGAGTGTGTTGCTGCTTTGATGAAGCCTAATTTGATAAAGTTTCAAATTAATTTCTGAAATATTTCATGAGTAATATAGTTGTCTTTGTCACATTTGATTTGGCATTAGTAAATAATTATGCACATTTACAGATATTTTACATGATATGAGTGATAACATGTGCTATAAGGGCTATTTTGCACAATAGGTGTGCCTTGAGATTTTTACTTGACCTTTGGTGTGCCTTGGGCACAAAAAGTTTGGGAACCACTGCTTTAGAGTATGCTCAGCAGTGTGTAGTTGGGTGGTCAAACAATCTAGTGTTATGAATGAAGTGTGTTATATTTGGTGCTAAAGTTTGCATTTGGTAAGTGTTTATGTAGTTGTGAGTGCAGTTATTCACTTAGCAGGAGAAATGAGGTGTTTTGCACTTTGGGTGTGTGGTTTTGTGAATTGTGTTTAGTGTTCTGAGAAGCTGAGCAATTTAAAAAAGAAATGTGTGTTACTGTAGCAATCGAGAAAAACTGTAAGAGAAAACATGTGTACATTTGAAAACGTCTCTAATGTCAGAAATTAAACATATTATTGATGACTTATCAATCGGAATACTGTCATACTTTTTTCTGTGTTTAAATTTGGACCTAGTTTGGCTGTGATGTGACTCACACACGTTGTAGTCTTAACCAAAACAAACAGCTGCCCCCCCCACCCCCCCTCCACATCTGCCCCTCTCTGGTCAGCGTGCCAGCTCCTCGGCGCAGGCGGAGATGGGGCTGAGCACTGCGACTCCGTTGTTCCTAACAACAGCTGGCGTTTTCCTCTGTTTGATGATGATTAGAAGGAATTACAAGCACACCCAATACCACACACACACACACACACACACACACACACACACACACACACACACACACACACACACACACACACACACACACACACACACACACACACGCCAGACTTTGACTCATGGAGAAAAAAAAATCTTTTTCACTTGTTTTTTTTTGTGACTGATTTATTTTGTGTCTCAGCAATAAAACATAATCTTAAGACAATATGTACAGCAGTAGACATGTAAGGCAGAAAGGGACGCTTTATCTTGAGTGTAACTGAAGCATTATGTAAGCTTGATATTTCAAAGCTGTCAGTCTTGAAAATGTCGATCTTGTTTTTTTCTCAGTAAGATGCCAACTTCCTTAAATACAAATGTGTCTCAACACTTGCCAAACTTAGTTCTGTTACTACATTAGACATGTCTCTTAGTATTGCAGCACAAGAAATTGGTTTTATTTTCCCTTTACTTTACCATTCAGTGAAACACACATGTGCACATCCAAACATAGTATTTTGTGCATTTTCAACATCAAGCATTATATTTTGAGCCGTCAAAAATAGGACATAATAATCTAGATCAAAATGTCACACAGAGCGAAATCTACTTGGTGAACTCGTATTTAAAGCAGTGTGTGGAGTGCCTCTGTCACTCCTCTTCTCCTTCAGCTGGAGTGAACAGAGTCAAATAGGCTAGATATCGACAGAAGGATCCTTGAAGTGATGCTATCTGAGCGATGTCGGTCTCTGGAGGGCCCAGGCTTCCGGTTTACTGGGAGTGAGCCAGAGCTCCGGCACCCTGACCAAAACCAAACCCTTTGGGGCCGAAGTTCTTGGCGTAGCAACCTGTGAATGAAATGACAGAGACATGGTTTATTAAAGCGGGTTGCTACTGACCACTGTGCTTTTAGATGTCGGGTGGTCTATTTGCACATACAGTAGAATATACATTACATTATAGAATATGAATACAAATATACTAAATGGCAGAAAGTCACGGGGGCTGCTGACCTGTTTGTACTCAAGTCATTTCCAGTGATCGTCTGCACAAGGTTACTGTTCAAATGTCACTGGCTGAGTTTAACCTCTGTGTACTGTTATTATACATGTTGTACACTTATTTACTGCCTATACAAAACATTTGCAATACAGTCATCCAGTTGTGATGCAGAGATGAGGATTTTCTCATTTGTGATAGATGTGAAAAGTACAATAAATAATTATTTCATCACCTAACCAACAGATTATTTCCTCAGTTAATCAGTATATTGTTTGCTCCATAGGATATCAGACAACAATAACAAATTCCATTAATTAAAAATGCGAATTCTATCCTAAAGCCCACACTGCTTTATTTTGAGCATCAAAGGCCAATTTAATATCACGCCGGAAAACTGAAAATATATTCCATTTTTAAAGTTGGACGAGGAAATGGTATGCATTTTTGTTGGACAAATGAATAAGTGATTATTGAGGGATTTGCTGCTTGATTTTTCTCAGACATCACTTCATGGGATTAGTTGTCACAAACCTTTACAGAAGATCTCTCCGTCTCTATCGGCGAGGGTTGTGGACTCGAGTCCTTTTCCACACTTGGCGCAGCGAAAGCAGCCTTTGTGCCAGGACTGATAAGAGAGCAGAGACAAAGTTAAAGAAATACAGAGAACTGTCAAATCATCATTTTAATTTAAAGTACAATCGATAATGCGTTTATCTCTTACATTTCCTCCTCCAACAACCTTCTCGGCTGCGTACACCGTTTTCCCACATCGAGGACACACATCTGAGCCTCCTTGTTTCTGAGCGAACTTTGAGGCGTTGGGGTTGGTTGTAGGGCGATGAGGCGCTTGTCTGTCATGAAGAAAGAGAGCTTTAAAGATGACAGTTGGGGAGGACTCTAACTACTAACAGATATCTGGGTCTCGTTTATGTTTCATCTCTTAGTTGAAAGTATTGAGTCAAACAAAAACTCAAACATTATATAACGTGTTGAAATCACAAAAGATCCAAGGCACTTCATAGTATGCCATTATATTTAAGGCATTTTCATTGTTTAATAAGAGAATGTACGAGTCATTCCACAATTTGGATGTACAGTGTAATTGTGATATACATAGTTGAAGTGCTGTTTGCTCACTCTTCAGGCTTGATCCCCAGTCCCTCTCCTGTGTCCATGCTCAGGGTGCCGGCTCCGCCTCCGAACCCGTAGCCTTTTGGCCCGTATTTCTTGCCATAGCATGATTTGCAGTAGATTTCATCCACATGGACGGCCACTGTTGTGCTGTCTAAGTTCTTCTTACAGACCACTTCAATCAACAAAAAAGAGAACACATTTGAAATCAAAATCACAAGCTCCCTTTCTCCAAAAAAAAAATTCTCAGATGATTAGCCGTGACATTACCCCAAACTATGCGTGACAATTTAAGGAGGAAACCCACTATGTGCTTGGCTGCCTCAGATACATACTTGTCTGTGCTTCAGGGAAAGTGTGTGTACCGTCCTCTGCCATATAAGGAAGCTTTTGTCACATGTTTCCACTGGATCCATATAAGGAGTGAGACATCTGAGCGAAATCCTGCTGAGGCTCACTTTCCTGCCCTGATGCCAAATACCCCGCATTCCAACCTGGCACAGGTCGTGATTACCTTTTACCCTCTGGAAGTTAGGTCAGTATACAAATAAAGCAGATTACCTGAGAACTTAAAACACTTACTGCACAGAAAACAGGATTTATGCCAGCTCTTCCCCTCGCACTGCACTTCCTCTGCAAAGTAGACGGTTTTCTGGCAGCAGCCACACTTGTTTCCTCCCCCGAAAGGCATTCTGTAAGCAAGCAGGAGAGCCTGTTGTGTACATTTGTCATTCACTGTATGTATAACATCTGTCTTTTGTAAAACAGATCAGTGTTGTTCTGCAGAAGGAGAACATCTGCACTACTTGAGGCTAGATGCAACAATACCTATACAAGGAGAGGTAGTAGTTTGCTATGATACACTTCTCTTTTTTCTATCTTTTGTTTGAGCATTCTAGCATGAAGGACTGTCCATCCCTGATAATAAAATGCAAAATATACCTGCTGCCAAGATAAAGATGAAATGACCTCAGAATACACTCTGTATTAAAACCACGCCAGTGTCAGCACTGAGTAACATACATGTAATGTCTTCATGGGTGATCTCATGTTATGAGGGTCGTCATCCACACAGAATGTCATTAATCTACTATATCGTTCTGGATAAACAGGAAATTCCCTGCATTTTATTTTGTAATCACACGTTAACAGTCTTGGGCTCAGACAACCCGAGAAGCTACCATGATTTAAGTTTAGTTACTCAAACAATACTTTAGAACATAATAAATAACAACACAGTTTAAGGATAGCTTTGAGCTAGAAGACTTTAAAAACACAGTAAACAAGAATATTTGTCCTGGTACCTTTTTTTTTTAAGGTTATCTAATTTCTTTCCTGCTGATGAACAGGAAACACTTTTGAAGCATAAAGTCATCCTATCTAGACAATAAGAGGAAGTGTCCATCTCTAAAAATAGGCCACTTAGCTGAAAGCCAAAGCCCAAAATATTAAGAAAAATACCAAGTTGTCGTTTTTACTGCATTTTATCCTGCATATTTTATGTTGTTTTTTTACAAATGTAAACAATAAGACTGACTTGTAGGCTCAAAGTAATATATGTGGTTAGGATTGTTGTTAACACACTAAAACCATACACTGTCAGTCATATTGTGTTTTCATCTCTTAAAATAAATACGGGCTGTTGTTTGAAGCTCAAACCATGAGGTCAAAGTTTTTAAGATAAAAACACATAAAAAAGAGGAAACAATAACTTGTAAATCTACTATCACATCTTAACATGTCGACATCTTAAATGAACCTACCTGAAAGTCAAAGAAGGATCCTCTCCTGTTGCTGAGAGATGTCTGAGTTTAGGAGAGGCAGAGGGAGGCTGAGAGGACACCAGGCTGAGGGAGGAGTCACAAGAAGGAGACAAGAGAGGGAGAGAGATGTTAGTACTAGTTTATTATGGGAGAGGTTTGGACACAGAAAGAGATCCTTCATCTCCACGTTTGAGAAACTGTTCTTGGTGAAAAAGAACAGAGCCTACTGCCAGAAAACAAGCATACATGAAATGTAAAAGCAACAGATGGATGGTGTTGTAAAAAGGAGCCCAAACTGTTAAGTTTCAAAGTAATTCTGCACATTAGCGGCCCCAAATGGAAAGTAGAGCTAACTGGTTTTCATGGTTTAAAGGTCCCCTATTATACTGTTTTTGATCAATACATTTTAGGTCTCAGATATATACAAAACATGTCTCTGAAGTGTTTGGCCTCAAAATACCAACCATAGCATCCCATAAACCCCTCTGTTTCAGCCATGTTTCAAAAGTGCGGATTCTGTGTCTGTAGCTTTAAATGCAAATGAGCTGCTGCTGGCCACGCCCCTCTGCGAGATATTTGGTTAAAAAAAGCACAATGGTGTTCTAGGAGGAGATTCAGGTGATTCGGGGGGGGCGGGGTGTTACCTTGGTTGGTGATTGGCTAATGGTTACACAAGCCACAAAAACATTATGACATCATAAAGTGGCCAAGATTTGATCAGCTCATTTTCAGACAGGTTTTTATTTTGCATAATAGGTGACCTTTAATATCTACATGTAATGCAGTAAAACCTCCATAAATATTGACTTGACCAATCCGAAAGTCTCTCTGTTGAACACCTCAAATAAATATTTTAACTTTTATTTTGTTTCATCCTCTGAAAGCTCTGTTCGTCATATATTATTTCCTCAGAATTACATTGTGAGGGATTTAGTGTATGTGCTGTCTCTTTGTTTTAGGTGTTTAGGGAAAGTATTGAAGATCGAAACTTTGTAACTCATGGCTTTGTAATCACACATCCTTCATCTCACTGAATTTGAAGGGAGACAGTTTACGCTTTAATTTGAGGTTGTCTTCATATTTAAACAGTGAATACAGAACCAACAATACAGTACAGCCTTTCACACATAGTTGCTAAACCGTAAGGTGCATCAATTAATTGTCCAAACTTCGATAATAGGGCTTGCACTTTAATTTAACATTATATATTTGTATAGATATTTCCCTATGAGTTGGTGGAGACTAAATCAGAGTTGAAAGGAGAGTAAATACTGGACGTGAATTCATCAGACACGACCACAAATACAAACTAATGTTATCCCATGTCTTCTTTATTTGTAAATAAGCAACTGTTGCAATCAACTTCCATCAAATCAAATACATCCACATACAGTAAAGGTGAACAAAGGTCATAGTTGTTGTGTTGCAGCTGGCCAACATGCTTTATTTGCAGCAAAAGAATGCTCTGCCTTCAGTACTGCAGCCATCTTTTCTTCTGGCTTGTTTCAGGAATTTTGTTCCACTTGTTTCCATCCGTCTGGTATTTAGCACGTGCAACACATGATCAGTTGGATTGAGGTCAGATGTCTGATCTGGCAAGTCAACAGCATTCCGCTAATTTGCACCAAAAACCTCCTTGTTTGCCTCTTTATGTCGGTTTGGTATCATTGCTGCTTATCTTGAATAGACTACTGTATAAAGAAGAAGAAAAAGGGCTGCAGGTCCACTGCTCACCAAATATGTTTGTGAATAACCTCGAATACCCTTAAAGCTGAAAGTAAAGAGCTGCACTATATTCAAATTGAGAAATTGAGTATGAGAACATTTCAAGTTTGAATCTAGTGGGCAATCAACCTTTGTGATAGCTGATTGTGTTTCAGATCCTTGCTCTGAACCACATCTGACCTTTTCTCATGTGAGCTCCTGCGGTGGATTAGTCTTCTTGGGGGTTCTTATGTTATCATGCAATGATCAGTGACTGGATGTGTGTCCTCCCGGCGATGCTTTTGGGTCTGTTAAAGAGAACATCATAAGCAAATTCTTAGGTTCATATTTTGCCCAGTCTGTTCTGATTGGTTAGCTGGTCGGCTCTGTTGTGATTGGTCAACCGCTTACTAGTGATGCCCGGCCCCTTAGTCTATCACGTACAATGAGTTGGAGCGCTAGCCAATAGAAGTGTGAGTGTTACAAAGTGATGTCACTACGTTATAGAAGTACATTGTTGCTGTCTTGTGAGAACAATGTTCCTCCAAAACATACATTTTTCATGATTCATGAGAAATATGCCAACAATGCATTTTTCAGATGTTCTAAAAATATAAATATTCATACTTATTAGTTATATTATTTAAAGAAAAAAAACAGTTGTTTTGGAGACTTTTCACTATGTCAGTATTGCAACAGTATTGTTGTTTTGATAGTAAGAGCATGTGGACTTGACACTTGTTTGTGCGTGACGACTACTAGCACAATGAGAGCATTGTTGGCCTTTTGTTCACTCTCTTTCATTCTTTATTAGATCACATCACACGTGTGACCTTTACTGTTCTCTATGATAGATGAATGGCATGGTCAGATTTACTATAAGGTCATCCTGCTGTACTATGGAGCCTTAATTCCTTATTTTATTAAAAAATAAATAACCTGGATGTTAGCGCTTCTGGCTAGGCTCACACATCTCCCAGAAGAGAAGGATCAGGAGAGGTGAAACTGATAGGGAGGATGACATCGATAAAAGGAGGGAAAAGCCAGCAGAGAGTGATGCTGCTCAGTCTGCCTTCCTCCTTCTCTCCAAGCCCTGCAGGCTCTTCACCATCATAGGAAGAGACAATGATGAACTCAAGAAGACTATTTATAGCCCACTATTGGCCAACACTAGCCCTCTATTTCTGCTCTGTGGACATCCGCCCTGGCTTGTTGTGTAGTATGTGCACATGTGATTATGTTCATGACGGAGAGGGAGAGGAGAGGAAGAGAGGAGTAGAGTGACAGAGACTCAATGATTTAATCCAGAGGAAGAGGAGAGGATAAGAGGCAGGGCTGAGGCTGGGCTGGGATCCATCCATCAGCGTGCGGAGGAGTGCTGAGAGCTTATTGGACTCTCATAGAGGAATTCAGCACAGTCTCTCTTTTTTTTCCGTTTGACCTGACTGGCAGCCAGGACTCCTCCCCTGGTAATGGTCTCTCTTTTTGGCAGAGGGTTTCACAGAGGCTTTGCCAACTTGTCAGGTGAGGAGGTAAAGCCGGAGGAGGTGAGTTCATGCTGAGAATGTGTTTGAATAGCCGTCACCGTGTGAAAGTGTTTCGATATTTTACTCGGTGGTATAACTTGTTAAATCCATTGCGGCTGTTTGGAGTTTTATTTCTCCCAGAGTAATCTATTAGAGTCTTGTTTTGCATGTTTAAGATGCATGTTTTTCTATGTGTATTAACTTCAGTGTAGAGCTTGTAAATCAATGGGTTGACAAACAGTTAGACCAATCTGCTACTGTTTTGATCATTTATCAATTATATAAAGTGTTTTTTAATGCTAAATACCAAACATTTACAGTTCCTGCTTCTCAAATGTTAATATTTTCAGATTTTCTTGTTTTTTAAGAATTTTACACCACATGTGTTTTCGGGTTTAGACTTGTGGTTGGACGAGATGTGACATTTAACTTGGACTTTGAGGTGTTATGATGGGCATTTGTTTCACTTTTTCAGCACTAATCCATTGATAGGATAATCAATAGATTTTTTTTATATGGGAAAATATTCGTAAAAGCCATCCTTTGCTGACAACATAAATCCCACTCATTAAACTAAATGCACTTTCCCCCCGTATTAAGTCAAGTCACTAATCCGCCTAAATACTTTATAGCAATAAAGCTCTTGTTTATTTTGGAGTCCCAGTCTCTGGAAAACAAAAGCAAGCTGTTCAAACACAAGAAGCCAGAAATAGTTTGTAATATTTCATTTTCATGGATCAGGATATGGAAATACAACCCTTTGTTCGTCCATGCATTTCAGGGGGGAAGTGAGATCATTCCGGGATGGCAGAGGGAGTTTGGCAGGATGTGTGAGCTGCATGGCCCTCTCTGTCTGATTCAACAAGCAGCAGTTTGATCATGTTTCACTGAGTTTAAAGTGCTGACTTCTGCTCTGCGGCACGCACCGTGGCCATAATGAGAGGGGAGGTGATGCAGTTTCATAAATTAGTCAGTAGAGGTCATGTATGGGCAGAGATTGTGTTTTAAGTGGTGTTGAGGCACACCCTGATTTCTCCATTTCTGGCTTTCTCTCTTCTCTCATGTACTTTTTGCTGTAATCCACGCTGATGCAAAAGGTGACGAGGCTTATTAACTGAAGCAGAACGTGCAGAGCGCATTGCAGCGTGAAGTGCACAATTAATAAGCTGGGAGAGTAGGCTGAGGGATGAAGGACTTTGCTATCTGTTCAATTCTCTCGTCCTGTGTGTACCTGCCTGTGATCCTGGGGATTCTTTATCTCGGCACCTCTAATTAAGCTGTGATTATGTTCAGCACTGTGCAAGAGATATAATAATGTAGATAGCAATGTGAATCTCTCAAGGTCAGACAGCAGTATGTGTGTCTGTGTGCAAGACTAATAACACATTTCTGAGTATGTCCATGTCCAGCCAGTGCCCGTCTTTGACTGTAATCCTCACTTATCTCATGTCTGTGACTCAACACAGAGGATGCAGGGTTCTTATTTCCAAACTGCCTCTCGTCTATAATCTCTCTGTATGAACTTAAGTCATCCTGCAGAGCAATTCACTTCAAGGAGAGGCAATATGCACTAGGGGAATATATCATAACTTGCATCACACCACCCGTTGCCCTGCGTCCTCTCCCCAGTTGTGCTCTCGGCACACGCTACATGTGGTCATGTTTCACCAAATGACCTCGGCCTGCACTAATTCAGCCTTGTAAGATGATTGTGTGAGTCATTCTGAAATATTTGGCATCACAACACACAGGGAGGTGGTGTCTTAGCCAGTGTAATCCTGACGCAAAGATTATGTGTGGAAAATGTGAATGTTATCCCATGT